ATATAGTCTGTTTCCCCTTTTTTAGTTCCAGCACTCCACTAACCAGTTAGCATCATGGCTTCCTGTTACTTATTGGTCCCGTGCTTAGGAATGGAGGTAGAGCCAGCTTCTTAAGGGGAATTGCAAAGTACAGACTCCTGCCATGTCTTTAAGCAGAAGAAAATGATTAGCTTTATCCAAGAAAAGTGGGGACTTTTGTAGATCCAAAGAGCTCAAGAGAATCTGAGGTTTCCAGTTTGTTATCCTATGATTCCTTCCCATGTTTCAGAGTCTCACTCTTTTCCACCCAGAGCCTGATTTAATGCAGTTGAGCTTTTAACCTTCTTGGGAGTTCTGTTACTGGCGATGATCCTCTTTTTCACCCACTTGCTATATTTTGAATATAAAATGCCCCCCCAAAATATCATGTATTCAAAGATGGGGCTTTTGGAAGTTGATTGGATTGTGCAGGCAACAAACTCATTAGTGGGTAAAATCTATAGATGAGTTCATAGCTGAATGTGCTAAGAGGTGGGGCCTGGTTTTGGAGCCAACTAACCATGGACTGAAACCCCTGAATCCATGAGCCAACACAAAGCTTTACTTCTTTAAGTCACGCACATCAGATGTTTTGGCCCAGAAACAAAAGGTGAAATGCACCATTGAAAGATGTATCGGTTAAATTACTAATTTATAGACTGTCAAGGAGGATCTCTGACTTTTACATTCTGTTTTTGCTCGGTAATTAATTACCCTCAGCCTCTCAATGTCTTTCCCAATACATCAGTTATGCTCAGCAAGAGACACCTAATTCCATCGTCTTTAAAATTAGCGCTTTCACTCATCTCCCAAAAGTCTGATATGCTGTACTTGCCTGGACAGTTTAGTTTTCTGGTATTTCCTTCCATTGCATCTGAAAAAAGCTTTTATCTCTTTGTATGATATCTTTCTTCTCTACAAGGCATTATTCAAAAAAATTTACAAATTCTTAGTCTAGTGCCTGACACAATGTAATTACTCTATTTATTGAACATGTAAACACTAGACTTTTGTGCCCTGTGTGATGATCTTTTGCTAAGTTCAATAATTAGTTTGCTCGTTAATATAATGCAAATAGAATCAGGCTAATTCTAACATACTGAAATTGGATTCTGCTACTGGAGTGAATCAGATTTGCATTAAGAAATGGATCGCAGCGAAGCTAATGATTAACATTTATCTAAAATTGACTTAGGCCAATCTGATGTGTTGGGGTCTAATCTAGATGGCTCCAGACCATATCTCCTTTGTACAGGCCTCCAGGACTGCTGGCAGAGGTCTCTCTACATACAATGACATAAGCTTCAGCCAGAGCACTAGGTTTTTTTTATAAAATCGACTATGTAAACATTATTTGCGTCAATAATATTAATTGCATGGAGCAGTTATCACTTTGCATATCCCCCAAACACATACGTCTTATTGAAATAGAACTGATTATGACTCATAATGGATACCAAAAAGATTCCAGCCATGCTGCCTTAGCGAGTAGGACACAATGGAATCCATTTTCACAGCCTCTCTTATCTGTACTTGCAGAAGACTCTGCCTTACATTCTCAGTGTAATTCCTTTCAAGGCAATATGGTGAGTTATCATAGAAGGAATTCTGCTTTTAGCTTGTTTGTTTCCTTGGGGTGAAGGGCAAGGTCTCCAAGTATGTTTTCCTTCCAAAGGAAGAAACGACAAGACAAATAGAGCCTTATGGAACAACCCTAGCTTTTTCACATACGCCATTCACCAGTGTGCTAAACAGCAAGCTTTCATACATCACGGACACCCGCTTGCTTCCTGCCTTCCTGCACCACTAGTATCTGGCCCAGAATCTAAGCGCACTACTGAATGCACAAAGAATCCCGTTGTATTCTCCGTCCTCTCTGTGCTTGCTGGAGCTCCCTCACGTTGCTCCAGCTCAGCAGTCAGCTGCGTAGACAATGAGAGCCTGTCTCTTCATGCTGCAATTTCCTGCTCTCCATTCTCCGCTCCCAAGAGCCAACAAAGGAATTCATTAAAGGAGTTAAGTGCTTGGTTATTATCAGAGGGGGGAAAACAAGTTCAGCTATTTTTGACCACAGTGGCCTTTCACAACAGCCACTAAAGTCAGCGCTTCCCTCAGTTGACTGTAGCCACAGAGAATCATCCAGCATGTCTATTGGTCACATTGTGATGCCTCTGTAGGAGGAGCAGAAGAATAGCGATGGATTTTGCTGTCATTTAAATGTCAAAGGCAGGCATATAATTATTTGAAGATCTCAGTGTTATTTTTTTCTTTGCTCACTTATATATCACTTGAATAGTTATTGAATTTCTTGGCAAGTTCTACCTGCTAAAGCAAATACAGCTCATACATGAATATCAACTTTCCTGGAAAATAAGCTAAAGAAACTTGTTTTACTATTTTTTATCAAGTACAGTTGGTAAGAAAATAAAATCCCTTATTCCAAGAGTAGTCAAAATTTTAGTAGCTTGTAAGGCACAGAAGGAAACCTCAGTTTATTTCTAAAATAGTAACAAACCATATATTTTTGATAAATGGTTTAGTATACAGAAGTTACTTTATTCTTCTATCAAATTGCCTTTCAATTAGTTAATTGCTTTTCTACCTTCTGTAAAATTTTACAGATGGCTGCATCTCATATATTTGCAAAGGTATAAATATGAAAGAGGAAAAATAAAGCTGAGTGAAGTGAATGTTTTAATCAGAGTTTCATTGGTAAAAGTAAAATTGCATGTACTTTACAATGCTTCTCTTTGTGCGTTATCAGGGAAGGATGAGCATGCTTTTTATTTGTATTGCTGAATAGGAGGACAGCATGTCCAGAACTGATGAATAAGATATTACCATGAACTTTGATAAGAACTAGAATTTAACTTGGTTAAAAGTAACAGTCTTTTCTTTTATGTCCTGAACCCAGTTCCGGGGTTAGTGCTTAGCTGTCAACATTCTCCCAGTGTGTACACTCCCGGAAGCACAGGAATGGGGTGCTGCCATTCCGAGAGGTGCTGTGTGACTCACTTCACTGCAGGTGATGGGGACAGATGCGCACACCCCATCTAAACTGTGGGGGTCAGACCTTCACAGCAGCATAGACAGCTGCACTGAATGGAGAGACACTGCGGCTGGGAGCCTCTGGTAGCTGAGTTTAAGGGCAACGCACCTGAGGCCTATGAATTCTCCAACTGAAACCTGCTCTGCAGTCTGCTTTGTCTGAGACTGGCTTGTTTAGCCTTAGCTTAGCTTTGTGAGATGCGCCAACATTTTCCTAAAAAGTGTGTTTATTCACTTAACTTAGCTCCATGCTGGTGTCTATTTCAAGAAGCCAAGTGAAATTCACCAATGCCTGACTTCTGTTTGCATCATGCATATACATTTCTTATCACACGGTAAACATCAGTGTCATTTGAGACTTCTCTTGCCTAATAATCAATGAAGAAGGAATATTTTCCTGAGGATTTTTCCTTAGACTAAAATGTCTGCATTAACCATAACAACACATTATATTTTAAATAACTATATTCTTGCATAGTTCATTTTTACTGCTCAGTATAAATTTCGATAATTAAATATTCTGATGACAATGGTGGAAAAGATACTTGTTGAAGGATACTGTATTACAGAGATCAGCCCAGCATTTAAAATATTGTTATATGTCTATTATGGAGCTTTTAACAAAATAGTCCCCCAAAATGCTGATAATTCATAATTCTTTTTAAAATGTATAGCCTCTTGCCATTTTACAAATGAGGAGTAGTATCAGCTTCTATAACAACCCTTAGGTAATGTTAAAATAGCATTTTATAAATGAAGACTCAAGTTTAGTGGTATTAGGCCATATTTACAGAGAGAGAGCAGAGAGGGGGAGAGAGACTTAGGGAAAAGGCCTATCTCTGATAAAATTGCAGCTATTCTTATCGCTTGCTCCCTTGTGAGATTGTCATCTTCCTTGGATCTTGGAACAACTCTTCCCAAATGCATGTATTCAGTCTCATGCTAATCATAAATTCAGCAAATGTTTGTTGGGTGAAAATTTACCTTTCTGGAGGCTAATAAACAACAGATGTAGGCAAAAACAATACGATGACCCTGGGAGAGAACGTGGGAACTTAAATCCCCAGTGAGACCAGAGGGAATAAAAGAAAAATACCAGTTGTTAACTTGAATGGAGTCAGCAAACTGATAAAGCAGGTGGGAAGGAAAAAGGTGACCTGCAATCTTATGCCCTTTCTTTCTTATGTACAGTCGTAATTTCAGTTGAAATAAAATGTGTTTCTTACTCATTGGTAGTGAATATTAATCCTACAGGTTTTTATAATACTGAGAAAAGTTACACAGAATTTTAGGCCTGGGGCTGGGGATTTAGCTCAGCGGCACGGCACCTGCCCGGCAAGCGCAAGGTCATGAGTTTGATCTCGTACCAGAAAAAAAAACAAAAAAAAAGAATTTTAGGCCTGAGAAAATATAACAGTAGAAATTCAGATGACTCAAGTTTAAGTAGCAGCAGAGTGTTTGATTGTCTGATGATCACCTCTTTACTTTCTATTTTGTTTTGGAGGCTTGCATTGTGCTAAAATCCTGATAATGTTAAAGCAAAATATAGTTCTTGACCATATTTACCATAGTTTACACCATTTTACCAATTCTTGAAGCTTGCAGGTAAAACATTCTCTTTCTTCCCTTCTTCCCTGTCATTTAATATTGTCTCCCCTCCCCTCCACCACACACCAGCTGGGTACTAGAGAGGAGATAGTGAGGATCCTTGAAAGAGCCAGGCTGTACAGTAATGTGCCCTGCTGGTTAGAAAATACATGAGAAGGGCTTGCCAGTGGGGACCTTATGGCCAAGTTATCCAGTTGTGCAAAACTACAGTTATGCCTTACTAGAGCACAGTATAATGCTGAAGGCAGAGTTGTGACTTTACTCCTTAAAAATCACCGTATTTGCACTGAATTATAAATTTGGGTTTAATTATATAAGAACTTCACCTGATTACGTGTCACTCAGTGTTTGACCAAGAGGTGCAGTCTTAAATCAGCATTTCTCCAAGCATTTCTTGAGGAGCCCTGGAGCCAGCAGTGCCCTCTGGAAAGGAAAGGTCCTTGAACAGGGAGCTTGTGTGGCCCTTCCTATCTCTTCGCAGTCTTGGAGTGGCAGGGCTCACTGAAATGTTAGCATCTCTGAAAAGCAGTGCAAGATAGAAGTTTAATTTACCCATCAAATTACATCATATCTACTTAATTCCCTAAGAATTAATGATTTATGGGGTACATTTTGTGACAGTGATTCTGGGACATGTCTAACAATATGTAACAGAATGCTTCTTTAGAGTCTTAACCTCTTCTAGGTCATATTCACTTTAGAAGTGGAGGACGAATATAAAGGCTTTAGCCAGAAAAAGTTACACAGACATATGGACATTAAACTTTATATAAAATTCAAAATTTACATATTATTTAAGTGTGATACTTAAGATCCACCACTGGGTGCTGTCTTGAGGAAAGCTGAACATTTTGGCTAACTCACGTATTGAGGTTTCTTTTAAGAACTTTTGCCATAAGTGCATTTACTGTAGATAACAAGCTTTACAGTTTTATTGTTACCCTCTACTCAATATAACATGTGCCTTTCACATTTGCCATGGCCCTGTCGAGTAACCTGCACAAGGAAAGGGATAGGCATCATCAGGAAACTGAGCCCAAGGAGACCAAGGTTGCTGCCCTCCAACTCCCTTAGATATTCTGAAGTACAGTGTAGCAAATAAAATTTTAAATACATTTATTTAGTGGATAAATTCCTGATAGATTAGGATTTCCTGATTCTGTTTAAATTAGCATTATTCAAAAATAAAATATTGAGTTATTTCAACAATCTGTAACACATTGCTCATGTAGCCAAAAGTAAGACGTACAGACTGTTATTTAGCCTGTATGTGGTCTACCTTAAATATATACCTAAGGATGGAATACTTTTAGCTTTTTATTATTTTCCTTTCCCTTTGTAAGCTAGGATGATGTAAGAAAATTGATGCTGTTTTGTTATTTAAATCCATATCTGTCCATTTCTTCCTGAATCAAATGACTCTTTAAAGGGAAATTATTAAGTTATTTCCAGGATATTGCAGAGGAAACTACGCGTTAGTAATACAGTTTGAAACATTTTTTTAACATACTGAGGGTTTAACCCTGATCCTTCCCACTGAGCTACATCCCTGCTCCTTTTTAATTTTTAAATTTTGGACAGGGTCTTCCTAATTTGTCGAGTTGCCCAGGCTGGGCTTGAACTTATAATGCTTCTGTCTCAGCCTCCCAGAGTGCTGGGATTACAGGTGTGTGCCATGAAACATGGCTATATTTTGAAACTTTATTTCAAACATTTTCCCTTTGGTTTCTTTTGCCCTAAGCTCTTATTGCTCAAGGCTTTTAATTTTCAATTTCTTTTCTTTTTCATAATACCACATTTGCCATACTAATATAGGAGTTGTTACATTGTAAACCCAACAGACAGCATCTTTTTAAATAATATTAACATTTTAATTCTATTGCATCTTCCTCTTTAAAATTTGACTTTTCCTTATACCACTGAAGACAAGAAAATGGAAATGAATGAATACCAGCTGACAGTATAAGTTATTTAATTAAGATAAATCTTATTTAACCTTTAACAATATATAGCAAATACCATTATTCTCAGTTTATATCTAACTTTTACAGCCTAAGATATTTTATAGAGTCACATAGTTAGGGCATAGTAGAGCTAAAACATGAGCTAAGATGTTCTTACTGAAAAAAGAGCATTTTTTTAAAACAACTTCAAAATGATGTGGGGTGTGCCTGTAGCTCCAGTTGCTTGGGAACCTGAGACAGGAGGATTGTTTGAGCCCAGAAACTTGAGGTCAGCCTGGGTGACTTACACTGTATCTCTCATAACAATAATAATATTAATAATAATTTCAAAGTAACTGATGGGGCAAGTGTTTAGGGTTTGGGTGCCAAAATAAACAAGAATTTATTTGCAGAGAAACAAATTCCTGAATATCTATACCCACGCATGGCTTAACGGCAGGAATGGATCCTGGGAAATGTGTCATTCGGCAAGTTGGTCCCTGAGCATCATCGTGTACTTACACGAATTGAAAAGGGTTAGGTCCCTCCCTTTAAAATAGCAGTACTTTGATAACATAGTTGTTTGCAGTTATGATCAATTCTGTGCATTATTATACTGCTGGACTTTTTATGGCTGGCAGCACAGTATGTTTGCTTACATCACCGTCACCACAAACACATGAGCAATGTGCTGTGATGCATATGATGTCGTGATGGCTGCAGTGCGTGGGCAGTCAGAAATTTTAACTCCAGTATAATCTGTGAGACCACAGTCATACTCATGGGGTCTTATTGACCAAAGCATCACTACTGAATTCATTTTTCATAATAGGCAGAGTCACGCCTTCTACCTGAGTCTCTGTTACCTCTGTGTTCTCTTGCTAATCATCCCTGTCCTAACATCTAGATTCTCCTTCTATGATATGCTATACAGAAAAATACTTGCAGTTTCTAATTTGAATGCATTTTACACACACACACACACACACACACACACACACACACACACACAACTTTACACCTTTTAGAAGTAAATACATTTCCTGATCTCAATGTGAAAGACCTTAAGTGGCTGGCCTAGTTTGGAATCTTGTCTCTGGTGTAGCTGCTGAATTCACACCTGCTGCTTCTCCATCTGGTGCAATTTTAGATCAGTAAGACCATCTTGAAATATGTGGAAAATGTCAAACATACTCCAAAAAAAGTGCTGTCTTCTTTTAAACTGGTGATGTCCTGAGATGACTGAGGTTTTTCTTTTCCTAAAGATTAGCACCTACTTTTTATTTTTCACTGACCCAGTGTATTTTATAATGGATCAAGACAACCTGGTTACGGTTTAAAGATCAGATAGAGAGCATTTCAAAAGTAAATGTCATTGTACTTGATGGTAAGCACTTGAAAGGTCATCTTTGCTATACTCAGAAGATATTAATCATGCATATGGACAATATAACAAGTTTTATTTATTTCTTTTAGTTAGTGCATGTGCAAATGGGTTTCTGTCTTGGTTACTTTTCTCTCTTTGCTGAGACAAAATACCTGATGCCCAGTATTAAGGAAGGAAAGATTTATTTAGCTTACAGTTTGTAGAGGTTTCAGTCCACACTGGGTGGGCTCCAAGGCAGAGTGGCACATGGCAGAGGGCAACAGTTCACGGTGGCAGCAAACAGCAAAAGCAGCAAGAGCAAAATGGAGGAGCAGCGCAAGCAGCCTCTTTCCCTACCTTACATTATATGCAAACTACCTGCCCTCGGGTAGTGTAGCACTCATACTCATAATCCCAGCATTGGACCATGGATCAATCATAAACTCTAAATTCCCGCACCATGACTACATGAGGCTCTGGGAGGACACGGAGATACAAACCATAACAGTTCCTATCTCAGTCTTACTCTATCCAGTACAAGTGGCTTGATTTACTCATTTAGCTATCTACTGTGAGCAAGATTCTAGTGGGAATTATGCAACTAAGGCCAAAAAAACATGTTCAGTATGAAACTATCTTTGTATAGGGTAGTTCTTAGCTATTGTCTTGTTAATTTTTTGCTCTTAACATTTTGGGGTATGGAACATTGTGATGTTTTGTTGCATATTTATAGGTAACTTTTACTGTACTTTTATTCAATCACCTGGAGATGATTATTTTTCAATAGTAATAAGAAAGATGTGAGAGTAAAATTGCACAGTGATTCAAAGGAGTAAGTAGGATCGAATCCTGAATTGGCTGTCTAGGAGGATTGCCAACCTTTGGGACATACTATCCTTCTGATGTATGTTATGCTTTAGTGTAAAGATTTTTGCATTCCCTCAAGGGACAGATACTAGGATATTTTCACAATATAGGATAATAATTTTTGTTAACAAAATATTAATGGTTCAAAGTTCATTTTAATTCTATTCGAAATGGCAAGACTTGGTAACCTTGGGCATTGCTTATTACAAAATGAATGCAGAAGAAAGTTACAAAGATACATGATTCTCTGATCTTAGCAAAAACACACCTTCGTGGTTACACTGGGACAGGACCTCTTATCACTGGGAAGGGCCGGATCGAGGCAACAGGGTAGGATCAGTTTTCTGGGAGAGCTTGGGCTCAGCTGGAGTTGTTCGCTAAACCCTAAAGTCATGAACTGGCCAGTCTTACGTTTCTTTCCACAACTATATTAGATGCTAAATCTCGACCTGGTCATACTTCTAATTTAGAGGATACTTTCAAGAATCTAGACTCTTTTGAGTTGGTATCACTTGGCCATCTCACTGCAGCAATTTCACTCACAACTCCTGTTTATCTGAACCTAACAGGATAAACAAACCCACCAAAAAAGAAACTAACCTGGTAGTTAAGGTTCCATCTAGAAATCTGAGCTTTGGGAATGTTCAGAATGTATATAGGGAATCAGTTTGTTTCCTAGAATTTATATGTTAGAGAAGTTGATTTTTCCCTGAGAGAATAAAAAACAAGAGAGTAAATGTGGTGGATTGACAACTGGTGGTCAACTTGTAACCCCCAGCTGAACTGAACCAGCATGGTGCCGGGTGTGGGAGGCCCACCTGGGGGTTGTTGCCAGCAGCATAAGAGGCAGAACTGGAGAAAAAGAAGTTCAGAGGATGTTGGGAGCTGGTAGAAGCTGTTGGAAGCTGTTGTGAAGCAGTTGGGAAGCTGCTGGTTTTTGTGGAGGAGTTTGTCATGCTGGCTTTCCTGATGAACTCGGAGGCTCTCACTGTCAAAGGAGCACAGGACTTCATTGCCACTGAGAATGGCTACAGTTCACTTTGGGAGAGCTCTGGTCCTTACTCTGAGCATCGCTTCCTGGCTCCAGGGCAGATCCCTCAGCCTATTATCACATATCCTTCATCCCTCCGGCATAGACTCTCTAGCTTCCACCACTGACCTTTGGGCCTGCCCAGCGCAGATCCGTGAATCAGGCCTGCATGAGACATTGTCATAGGCTCTAGGCCTCCAGTTGCATTCATGGGGCTCTTTCCATGGGCTCTAGGTCTTCAGCTGGACTCATGCAAGACATTATCATGAGATCTAGGCCCTCAGCTGGATTCTTTGGTCTGTAGTGTGTGGACAGATTTTCGGAACTTTTTGTATATGAGTCTTTGAGTAACTATTATAAAATAATGTTATAAATTGTGTCCCCTGTTCCCCTTGCAAACTCCCAACTACAACAGTAAACTAAAGCGTACATTATATCTTACAGAAGGGGAGCCCAAAGTACAGGGCCACATAGTGCTTTTTGTGTTTCTGCTTCACCTTGGCCTCAGACACATATGGAAACATTTCATTCTGAACAAAATTCTCAGCAGCAGCACTAATCATTCTTTTAATTTCAAGCCAGGTGTGGTGGTACAAGCCTGTAATCCCAGCACTCAGGAGGCTGAGGCAGGAGGATCATTGTGAGTTCAAGGCCAGCCTAGGCTACCAAGTGATCTCAAGACCAGCCTGAACTCCATAACGAGATCCTGTGTCAAAAAAGCCCAAGAAAAAATTTAATTTCATAAAGGATCAAGTGCATAACAAGGGATTTGCTCATACCTTGACAAATGCTTTCGAGCCAAGGCTGACATTTTTTGGCTGCCTGAGTTGATATGATGATAAGGCAGTTTTAAGAAGAACTGTTAATCACTTCAGAGCTGGTCCGTAGTCTGACTGTGGTCTTGAGAATTCATCGAAGGCTCAAGCATCCCATGACTGAGCTTTGGCTTGAGGTAATGGTGGTGCTGCTGTCTGCTGCCCCACTCCCCTGGTGCTGTCTGGAGAATGACACTTGCTCCTACATCTGGAGTGCTGTGTGACCTGAGTGATGCTGGCTACTTGTGGTGGCATCTTAATGCTCTGTGATTCATTAGATATCTTTCTTCCTGTGACTTACATCTCCATGGCTTCCCCGAATGTCCTTTTTTCCATAGACAAGTAAGCTTCAAAAGGTTTTTTCTCCTAACACCTCTTAAAGTGCAGGATGTGTACCCTGGCTTTTGTGAGGCACCTGCATAATTTGTACAGATCACTCCACTGGGTCCTTTCCTTAGGAAGAAACACTATCGTGCTTTCAGTTCTGTCAGTAGCACCTAGGGCCATAGCTGGTTGCCTTGAGAAATTTGGAAGAAGTGACAAATGGAAATTCCTTGTTCCTACCTACTTGGGCCTAATTCCAGTCTTAAGGACAGGACAGTGCCACTCATTCAGACCCTCCGTGCTAAGTATGGCCTGGGAATTTCACAATTTCTTCCTCAGGAAGGATAAGTACCTCTTTGACTACAGGGAGTTATGGTCCGGATGGGTGCCACTTCTCCATGCTGTGTTTTAAAAAAGATGGTTAATAACAAGTTTCTACTGGATAATAAAGTCAAAAAAATTAAATGACTATTCTTTTTCCCTTGTAAATTAATAATAATAATAATAATCACAAACACCAACCACAATAAAATGCCTTCTTCCTGCTGATATTGAAAACTATATACACTCTGCTCTTCTTATACAGGTTTAGCCACTAACAAATGTAGATATAAATGTAGACTTTAAACGTATTATTCCATATAGTCTCTGCAGTCTTTCTCTACTGTCAATGGTTTCTCACTTTAAAAATCAGTAGAAATTCATAGTCCACTGTAGTGGTTTTTGTTTATCTATTTTTGTGTAGGGACCTGTTTAATTTGCTATAAGCCAGGTTGTTATTTGGAGGTGAGTTGATGTACACAAAAAATACATTCAAAAGTCAGAGCATTATAGAGATAATAAGTGTTATAGATTAGATTTTAACATGTTTGAATTTAAAGCATTCTATAATTGAAGATGTAAGATGACAGATTGGTCTGTCTTGGGCTGGTGAGGGTTGTGTGGGAGGAAGAGAGAGAGGCTGTCAGGCGAGACACTGCTGGAGGAAGCTGAGTCAATTATAAACTGTCAATAGGAATTCTCATCTATAAAAAGGGATCTATTATGTGGAAATCATTGCTATTCCAGAAGTAATTATTTGAGCAAATAGTTTCTAGCACATCCAGCAACTGTTGGCGTGAAAACATTGACTAACAGCTATGTCTAATGGTCTGTAACTCGGTCTGATAGCGAAAACTGGAAGAGTGTAGCATTTGAATGTCTGGTCTCCCCATGGGCAGTGACAAAACTGACATCATAATATTGATTTATGGAACTGTTCTTTGATATAACTTTAAATTGTGCTAGACTCCTTTGCAGAATGGGACTAAGTACCTACCAGTATTTTACCTCTAAATATTTCCATGATAATTAGAGCTCAGGTTGAGTTGTTAACAATATATATTTATTTTCCTTAGATTGTGTCTTTCATATTTAAAAAAATTATGAGAAAGATATTTACCTCTGCAGTTTCCCTTCTGCACCATCCCTCTGAAAGTATGATACATGCCCCTCAGCTCGCCCAGGGCGGATGCCTGGGAAGTTTGCCAAGATGCGCCAGCTTTCTCATCATTCAGCATGGTCCTCCATTCCAACAGCAGGAGTCAGTGCTGTTGAATTACAACTGTTTGGCAGCCTGTTGAGATTTGCCTCAGCTATCTCCATAGAGATTTGGATAAAGACTTAGTGATCCAGTAGAATGTTCTAGAAGCATCTGTCCAGTGTTCTGAGTGTGGCAATTTTTACAAAAGAATTAGCTTTTCATTAGGAAACATTGAACAACAATTCTGTGCTCTGCTTAGTTCCTTAGACTGAGAAAAAAGGATTCGGGGGTGAAGGGCAAGTTCTCCTTGTCCTACCTCTTCAGATAGCTAAGTCTAAAGAGAGATGTGCTTTAAAAATGGTGTGTATGGACTTGGTGGATTTCTTCTCTTACTGAGTTATTAATTTTTTGGGCTTGGTGATATTGTGCTAACTATATCGAAGTATAGAAATATTGAGTATTAAATAATTAAAAATGTTCCTATAGCTATTAGTGACTAGTCTCTGCCTTCAGTCACTAAAATGTCTCTACCATCAGCCCAGTCCTGATTACTATTTTACATTAAAAGAAGATACAAATGAATACATCTGAACATTTTAAAGCGTTATTACTTATCTTTAAAAACACAGCATACTCTGCTGTTATCAGTATCACTAACATCATCAATGACTCTTCACCATTTACTGCCATCCACCATCCAAAGCTTTTTATGTATGTTAACTAATTTACTTTGCCTAATAAAGCTATGAAACACTTTTGTTATAATACACAGTTTTACAGTGAAGGAAACTGTGAGACCTAGGAAGTAGGTAACTTGCTCAGAGTAGTCCAGGTAGTGATAAAACTGGGAATCCATCCTGCATACCTTAGTTTTAAACTCCCAGCTCTTCTCTGCTACTCCTGGCAGCCTCATTAAGCAAATGTCACTGACTATTCTAGGTGGAATCTTGTGTTGTTTTATAAGATAAATATATAGCCTTGCTACTACATTTGTTTAGATTTAACTTTACCGGAGATCAGCTTAGCTTTGACATTTATAGGCATGGGTTAGCCTTCATCTCACTGCAAGATATAAAGCAACCTGGTATTTAGTTTACCTGCAAAAGGCAGTTAGGAAGCCCTAGAGGAACCTAATTAAAATGCAGCACATTTCCAAGGCACCATATCTGGCTGTGTTGCCATAGAAACCATGGGAACGTCTGGTCAATGACCTTTGAGGGAATCTGAGGATACATTTTCTTAAGGCTCCACCCAGTACATTAATCTATAGCTGCAAGCTCAACACATGGAAATTCTCTTATGTAATCTTAGCTGAGTTTAGGACTAAATTATACTGGAAAAACTTACCAGAGACTCTAGAGCTTTTTGAAGGAATATATTTAACTACTTCAATATAGGATTTAAAATAATTAAAAATCATGTATTAATGGCAAATAAGTAGTAGAAGAAATCTTAGCCATATAAGAAACATTAGGAGGTAAAATCATACTTAGCAATACTTTTAATGTCATAGCTATTGTATTATATTTGGAATTCTTCTAGCCAAGGCTTACTTAAAGGATAAACCACAGTATTATATATCAAAACTACACCCAGAAAATCAGACCTTATTATGAAATATTAAGGTGCTAATATTATTTATAAATACAAGGTCTTAAATAACACCTTTACTATCTAATATATTTGTAAATTCAGTAATCTTATTGCTAAATATGTATAATTAAAATTCCTAGTTTTAATCTTAATTTGTATTTTCTTTGGCCATTTGGTTGAAGCCAAGTACTACAGTTTAACAGGAAAAAATAACAAAGCCTGACTCACTGTAGACTGCTGTTATTATTAGAACAACATTTTTATTTTGTACTGAGAATAAGTAACTTAGCTTTATCATCAGGATATGCATAATTTAATTACAATGAAGTATCTATCAGGGGCTAATTTCTCCTAGAATTAGAATTACATCTTCAAATAGGTAAAATTCACTTATAACACACATAGACATCAGAAGCTAATAATTACATCTAGAAAAGTGAAGCTACTACCTCACCCCTCAGACTTCTGGAAGGTTCTCTTACACTAGAAGATGACATGATGCTATATGGATTGGAACTCCTGGCTCTGCCACATACTAGCTAGAAGTTCCTTAGCCTGTTTGCTCCTATACAAAATGAGAATAATTATTGGCCTCTTAAAGTGATCATGGGAATTAAATGGGCTTATTATTGATAAATCTTATCTATTTTGATACAAAATATTTTTTTAAAAAGTATATCCAAGTGTAGCTGGCCCTGGTGCACCCTGCCCTGCCTGAGGCAGGAAGAATTGAGTGGAATCAACCTAACTGGCCTTGAAGAAGTTGAGGTAAACACTCAAGAGTGTTTTCAGTTTGGTGGACAGAGGGCACCTGTCAAGTTACAAAAATATAATTCCTTCTTCAGAATGGATTTGGATAGCACTGTCTGTGAGAATTGATTGTTGTCTTTGAGATTTGGATGTTGACATGCATATTTAATCCAATAGCAAAAAGGAAAATTTATTTTTTCTTCTACATTTTTATAGCATTCAGAATTTCCAGAACGCTTTACTTCTGCCACCAGAATGTGTGTGTGTGTGTGTGTGTGTGTGGCACGCACGTGTGCATGTGTTTTGCAGTGACTCATATTCCCATTCTCTGCAGATAATGACTGCATATCCTTTTATGGAGGCTTCATCGTGAAAGCATGAAAGATTATAAACTCAGCTCTGGCTCTTTCTCCCTCTCCAGAAAACCAGGAGCTGGAGCTGAAGGTTCCAAACTTGTAAACATAGTTTGGTCTTTTTGCTGAGCAGTTTGGGGACTTAGAGAACACGATAACTCAAAACACAGCACTTGGGAATACAGTGCATTTTACACTGAGGGGAACTGAGAAAATTGCAGAAGCAGAAGGATCTCTCTGATGTCCTCCCTCCTGAAGACCCTTGAGTGACAGGCGTCCTGCCCCGTACACAGCAGGCAGGACTGCTCCACAAGGAGGCCAAGAAGAATCTGAACAGTTAAGTCTGGCCACATCCTCCCTCCCCTGCTGCCTCCAGGTTGCTTCCGTTAGGTCCCGTCCCCTGTTGCCCAGCCATACTTCCACACAGCTGTATGTTTTTCATCAAACCTAAGTATATAAAAGTATAGTCCCTGGATCTTTGGCTCTTGCCGCACATCAAACTTTGGTGAAATAAGTTTGTTGCACTTTGGGCTTGTCCATCTGTCTCCATGGTAGGAATGTCAGCCACCACCCTCATGATGGATGAGGAAAATACTCTTTTCTCTCCTTCACATCAGTTCCCATCCAGAAATCCACCAAGAGGTATTTCATTAGAACAGAATATGCCCCTCTCACACGGGAAATCCCACGGTGCTCAGGAGCTCTGTCAGAGGCCGGGTCACAGAGGCTGGGCCACGGGCTAAAGTTATGAGTTTTAGGTAATCTGTGCCAGAAATGCAGCAGAAACCATATGAAATACATCTCACAAGTAGCAACTTTCCAAATGAACCACAAGTGGAGGACAGAGAGTTGCCCCTCACATGTGTGGAGACATTTTGAAAAAGATACAGCTTTGAGCTCCGTACCACCCAGCAGATTGCTCTGCTGCCACTGTGAGCCAAAGCCCTCCAGGAATGGTTCAGCTAAGTCCCCTGTGGGGTCATAGCTCAGACATGGGCGACATAAGCCTGCAAAATAAAGTCGGACCAGACGAGCCTCAGGCTACTTGTCAGGTGAAGGCCTCAGGACAGCAAGTGAGACACTGCTCCTGGAATGGCTTGTGTGGCTCATGGAATATTCTGTATGAGGGCTGGGTGGGAATTAAACTATTAAGACAGAATAATTCACTGCTCACAAGTAACTTCCAGAACATGTTCAGAGAAGCAGCACCTAAAAGTAGAATTTTAACCAACATAAACCCTGACGTTCAAGTTCACAGCTTGCCTGATCTCAAGCTGCTTTTAGACTCTGGTGTCAGTCTAATTTTGTTTGCTCTTCATTATTTAATACTCTGTTATTTTTAAAATGTACCTGTATTTCAGGTAGATTTAAAGTATAATTTAGTGACCAATTTCCAAGGTGTCTTGACATGTACTATGTGCCCAAACAGTATTTATTTATTTTTTTGTTTGTTTGTTTGTTTTTTTGGTTTTTCTCCAGTACCGGGAACCAAACTCATGACCTTGCGCTTGCCAGGCAGGCGCTTTGCCGCTGAGCTAAATCCCCAGCCCCCCAAACAGTATTTAAATACAACAAAAGACTTACCGCTTCTTTCCGGTAGGAGACCTCACAGCGGCTAGCACTCTAGTGTTCTTTACAATCAGGTGCAAAAGAAACTTTCTCCGGTGACTGTCTTTATGATCTTGCATTCCCCTCCCCTGTCAGTGCCTGTTATATACCAAACCACTCACAATTACACATATACTGCTAGCACCTCCAGAATATTATTTCTTGGAATTGTACTTTCTACAAGTAACTTAAAAGTGACTAGGCCATTTTTCTTCTGAATAATCAAACATCTTAAACAGAATACTTTCTCAATTAACTTATACAGTTTTTTCATAGCCAAGTGTACTGGCAGCTTCCTAGGGACTTAATAGGTTTACCTCACCTGAAAAACTTTCCCTAATGAAGTATACTAGGATTACTATATTAGTAGAATTTAAAGACATCCATGAGATTTTTCATAAATCTAGAGAATTAACATTTCTTCTACTCTTGTATTTCCCAGAGTTGTTTTGTTTTGTTGTTTTCCTCTTTCTTGTTGGTTATTTTGTTGTGTTTTGTTGTTTTGTTCCCTTTTTGTACTGGAGACTTAATCCAGTGCATGACTCTTGCTAAGCCCAAGAAGTGTTTAAAAGCATTTCTTGGTATTGGTGAACAGTATTTCTGATTATTTAAAAAGAAAGGGGGAAAGCCAGGCATGGTGGCACACGCCTGTAATCCCAGCACTCAGGAGGCTGAGGCAGGAGGATCATTGCGAGTTCGAGACCAGCCTGCACTACAAAGTGAGCTCAAGGCCAGTCTGAACTGCATAGTGAGACCCTGTCTCAAAAAAAAAAAAAAAAAAAAAAAAAAAGAAAGAAAGGGGGTGGGATGGGGAATATTGAAGAACCTCTAACATGCTAGCGTCTTATGAACATCTAAAGAAGATGTGGTCCAAATCATTTCTCACCCTTTGCTGCACGGAACCATCTTTTTCAGTATAGCCTCTTAAGACAAGACTGCAGATTAGAACAGACTTTGGGTAACGCTGATTCAGGGAAATCTGAGCATAAGGTTCTCAAATTCCTTCTTCAAATAGCTGTTTAGAACTTTAAATTTAAGTCTGTTGTGTCAGTATTCCATATTGTTTATAAACATAATTGTATTATTGAGATGGGACAAAGCATATTTTGTAATGAGATAACATTTTATTTTAATTTTCACCATTATATACAAACACAAGTTAATAAAACACATCACAAAACAGTAAAATTTCATAGTTAGTATTTATAGGTGCATAGATTCATGCGCACATCTTTTTGTATATTATATATTTGAACAAATTTCACAATATATCGTTATTCTTAGACAGAATCATTAAAGACACCTGAAATTTTATAATATATGAGAGGAGATCACTTACAACTTCTCAACAACAGCAACAGAAAAATAGTGGAGATTTAGAAATACGTAGTAGTCACTTGGGTGTTTTTAATTTGTTTTAACGTTTTAGATTGGAAGCCACACTATCCACAGCACACAGGAGGCTGCTACCATACATTCACTTCAGTGAGGGGGAGCACCGAAATGCTGATGGGGCAGGTACAGAGACTACAACCACTGCTGATGGAAGACTTCAAAACACACCGTAAAACTCTGAGGAAATGTCATGACTGCGCACACTGGAACTGAGCACTTGTACAGGATGGAACATCTGTCCACAGCTCTCAAGGAAATGGGAGCAGAAGTATTTCTTAGGCTTCAGGTTCGTAGTCTTGATAGCCTTCCTAACATTAGGAAAAACAAAAACATTCAGCACTCATTGTTAGCGGAAGTGTTCATTACTCAAGGATTTAGAGCAAATGATACGGGACATGGCGCAACATCCTGAGTTAAGTTCATACTCATAGCAATTTTGGAATGACTCTGCTGTGTTATTTTAACTTTATAGTTTGTCTTACCTATCACACAGAAAACAAATTATGTTAGTCACCAAAGTTACGGCACCTGGCTTCTACTTCTAGATTACTCGTTAGCAATCACATGATACAGTCCTGTCAAACCAATCAGTTGTGCCTCTTTGGCTTTCAGTGCATTCAAACCTAAACTGGAGACCTAAGTCAAACAGCTCATGAAGCTTCTTTCACGGCTGAGACACTCTAACTCTTAGAAACAAATTAAGACACTTAAAGATACATATTCTCTCCTTTTACTTCCCCAATTGGAAATTTTGTCTTTGCCTATGACTTCAGTAATTACATCTATTCTCTTCCAGAGCCGAAGTCCTCAATACAATATTTAGATAACACTTACAATAAGAATACAAATGACCTTAAGTAAAGGGGTCAGGTAAGACCTCCTTAAGAATATCTTTTTAATAATATCAAGCTTCTACATAAATACAAACTTACCTTCTTTAAAACCTCCAGCTGATTTCCAAAAGCCAAGGTTGTCCCAGTGTTCTACAGTCTGTCTTTGACCTTAATCATCTCTGTACCCTTAATCTATCACTATTCTGTTTCACATGCTTGAATCATGATCACTCCCCATTCCTCAGACCATCCACACACACAGACATCCGTGCCTTTGTCTCTGGTCCTTCTTTCTAATCGAAAGCTCTCCCCTCTACCGCCCAGATCAACATCGCCTCTTAGAGAAAACCTCCTGACTGACTTACACAAATCCTAAGAAGGGGAATCTGACCCTGCCAGGTCTTCAGTTCTGCTTTTAGGAAGACCAATTTCTGCTCCTGAACTTTATTTTTGGAATTTTATGTGTATAAATTTACCTCAGAGGGCATTTCATAGGCCTCACTGTCAGGCTCCACAGGCATATCTTCCAGAATTCCTTCCTGGGGAGATCCTTCTTCACTCTAGGAGGTAAATTGGGAAGCATAAAAAGAATGTGATGAGGCACCATCTTCCATTTGTGAAATATGTTTTCAAAAAATTCTTATCTCTATATGGGATATTGGCAGAAATGCTGTAAAAATGACACTCGTTGATATTACAGATGACATTCTAGCTAGACAATGCCTTTGAGAAGACATTGTGACAACACGGTCACTAGCCCTGAAAAGGTACCAAGTTTTTGTCCAGGAAACTATCTGGGAAATAATCTCAGGCTATACCCAAAGATGTTTCATAAAATCAATATTAATAGCAAAAGATTTTTAATTCAATACTGAATAGATGATGAAAGTCAAAAATTTATTCAAATACTCAACAGATGATTATGAAGACATGTATTATTATGATCCAAGAATTATGTAACAAAAGGAGAAACTATGGTACAATGTTTAGCAGGATATAAAGTGTTGTATATGTTGTGGATACAATTTAAGTAGAATTCAAGTGCAAAAATTGAAAGATTGAAAAGAAATAACAAATAGTGAAAATATTTTGTTGGGGATTTACATATGTTCTCCTTATTTTTCCTGAATTTTAAACTTGTATAATTATGTCATGTAAAAACATACATGTTTTATAATTTATTTTTAAATGCTGGCAAAAAACCAAATTCCTTTATGAAATTTAAAGATTGAAACTATATGCAGTGTGTTCAAAATATATACTGACTGCTTAAATTTAAAAAGTTTATTATAGTAAAAACACATTGCCATTAATTCCCCTCAAAACATTCCCCCTTGCTTTGAACACACTCATTGCATCATTCTTGTCACTTTCTGAAGCAGCTCCTGAAGTTCTCTTTCAGTAGTGTCTTAATGAGTTATGATTAAAAAACAAAAATGCAGCGAATGTTGCTGCTGAGCACTATCTAAGGGTAGAGCAAGCTCATAAAAACACTAATGAATGTCCTCATTTATCTTATGCACTGGATCTGACACTATGTGAGTCTGGCTCTTCCCACAACTCAAAATGACTATGACAGGTAAAATTTTCAATGGATTTAGCACATCAAGGCAGCCATTACAGTGCAACTAAGATGCTCCCATAATAGAACTTATAGAACTCCTTATATTTGAAGGAATAAAGTCAAATAACATGGCCAAATACTTCCAGAAACAGGATGTTACAAAATTCAGTCTGAAATGGTCATTATTCTTCATGAAACTTTTTGTTGCTTTGCATTTATTCCAACAAAGTTATTAAAAAAATGGAAGTTCACTGAAAATTCAAAGAGCAGAGACGCAAAAAGAGCCCAAAGAGTGCTCAAAGAAATCAAATGGTCCCTTGGCTTATGTTTAACGATTTGTCTGATGTAAATAACATCTCACCTGCTTTCATCATGGGACAGACTGACAGGTAGACAGACAGATAAGGAAATGGCTGATAGTGAAAAAAGACCAGATGGAAGATCAGGTTTACGGGACCTGGGCTGATTTATTAGGAAGCTAATAAATCATCCTACCGTGTCTAATCTTTTTATATATCGGGAAAGTCCAAATTATTTTGAAATAAAATAAATACCATTCCCAAGCCTCTGCCTTCTTTCTAAATGTGGAACAGAGGTTTTGTTTTCATAATAATTTGTGTCTTAGTATAATTGTCTTGGTTACTTTTCTCTTGTTGCTGAGACAAAATACCCAATGCCCAAAATGAAGGAAGGAAAGGTTTATTTAGCTTACAGTGTGTGGAGGTTTCAGTCCATACTTGGCTGGCTCTGAGGCAGAAGATAGCAAAGCAACAAGAGCAAAGGGGGGAATGGCAGCCGAACAGCAAACAGCCAGAGCAAAAAGGAGGAATGGCAGCAAGCAGCTTCTTTCCCTCCCTTACATTGTAAACAGGCTACCCCCACCTAAGGGGCGTGTAGCTCTCACATAATTTCCATGCCCTCCTCTTCCACAGGCTCAGGATGTATACAAAGTAAGTATCCTGGCTTCCTGCTGAGTCACTTAGCCAAACCTCTAGACTCCCCAAGTTGACACAATGTTTCAACCGTAACAATAATAAAGCAAGGTTCTGTTTTGTGGTGGTTAGGCACAAGGGTTATAGTGCCTTAAGATTTGAGTTCAAATTCGAACTTTTCTAGATTACAGATCTTTTGTGATTTTTGGGCAAGTGTCATGTGCTTTTTCTAAGCATCCATCACAATTAGACTTGGTGGTAAAACGAGCCAGTAAGATCTTCATAAGTGGGAGAAATAAAGGCCATCACTAACATTTCCATAGGCATTAACATAACTATTGGTAGAGTCAACTATGAAGGAGAGAAGGCAAATTCCTGGCTCCAGGTAGTGTTAAACTGACATGTCGGGATCTGACTGTGTTGTGCGATTTGTTGGCAGGCTTTGATGTGCACTGGATTAGTCAGTATGGCAGACCTGGCCTGTCTGTTGTTGAGTCTCACAAATGAGTTGCTCCTGTCTAACTAGGACCAGTAAATGTTCCCGATGTGGATGTGCAAGTATCTTGGGGGTATCAATATATGTTCTTCACGTTCCGCCAGGTAATGCTGAAGGATAGTTGGGGATTTTTGACTACACAGATCATGCACTAGGCTCAACTGAAATTTTGTGTTATTTTATAAATAATCCTTCACTTAAGTTTCAAGTACATAATGATTACTTATTTTAAAAACAATACATGAATTTCTGAGCACTCTTTTCTGTAATGGGATTAAAGTGGGATTTTAAAATGGGATTCCAAAGACCTAAAGTTTATAACATAAAATATATACCATTTATTCTAAACTAAATATATGTGGAGCAGGACATTCTTCAGTTACTATTTTGTATATTGCTGGGGCCTGACCAAGCCATGACTGTTGGGTTCTGGAGGAAGTCTAGCATAAGCAATGTAAACCCCAGGATCAATACTAGGTGCTTTGCTGAGATATGGGTGAAGGGAGATAACATGATGGCTTACTGGTCAGGTCACATTCCTGTGATAATTGAGTTGTACTGTCCTTGCTAAAACAGTTAATATCCTCCAATTCCTCTGCTGTCTCCTGGGTGGATTCTGAATAAAAGTTTACTGAAGATGGTAACCAGGGCTCAGTCCTAGAGGCTGCTAGCATCTGATCACATGATTTTGGCTCTCTTGGTTTGATGTTTTTCTTACTTTTCTTATACATCAGCGGGCACCTAGTTTGGGGGATCTGTTCACTCTGGACAGAGTTGGATGTGAAGTCCGACATACAGCGCCCAACATCCGGCATGGACCTTCGTTTGAAAGTCGAGACTAAGGTATGAAAATAAGTCTTCGAGACTAAGGTATGAAAATAAATCTTTGAGACTAAGGTATGAAAGTAAGTCTTCGAGACTAGGAAAGGGAATTAAGGGAATTAAGTCAGTGCTCGACCGACCAAAGAAGAGCCGAGGAGCGGGAACATGAAAACAAGAGGAGTCTTCCAGACTAAGGAAAAAGGAATTAAGGCAGTGTTCAGCCAACCAGAGAAGAGTCCACGGACAGGTAAGCCCAGTCTCCGGGATTGCTTCATCAGGGTTACCGTGGTAAATTTTCTGTCTCAAAGAGAATCTGAATCAGAACAGGAGATCTTGCAGGATAAGAGAAGATAGAAATAAAAAAAAAAAAAGGAAGAATAATAGATTAAATTGCTAGTAATTAAAAATGAAACAAACATTTTCAAAAACCAATGTTCATAGATATTTATAAAAATGTTTGCTCTTTTCATGGTTCCTGTATGTGCTTTTCTTTTCTGGATGTGGATAGATGGGAATTTAGTACTACAAAGGATTCAGCTGGGAACGGTACTTTGAAGTTGAGTCCGGAGCCCTAGCAGGACAAGGGCGCCAGCACGGCCGGAGGGAGAGGCACAAAGTGGGTTCAGGGAAAGCCCCGGCCTCTGGTTCTAGGCAGGCCCAGCTGGGACTTCCCAGCTGCCGGTGAGTCTGCACAGCCTGTCCAGGTACAGCCTGTGCAGCTACCAACATGTGCGCCAGGAACCCAACAGACAGGACATAACCGTGGCGCGCCCTGGCCTTCCCCGCCGCCAGCGCCACAGGCACCGACAAGGCTGTGGCCGAGTTTGGCACCAGAAATTCATCCGGCTCAAGTCAGTGCCTGCGCTCGGAATTAGAACAAAAACAAAAACAAAAACAAAAACAAAAACAAAAAAACACACCTGGACATCCAGGGGCCAGAGTGAGAGCCCATACCAGGTACTAAGACTATGGAGCCGCTGCTAGGAGCTCACCCTTCCCTGAGGGGATGGAGTGGAGGCTTGGACCTCGGTCTCTCCTCCAGATTTATACTAACTCCTGAAACGGGACCCCAAATTATTCCTGCTTGGACCCTTGCCTCAGGGTACAGTGGCACTCCTGCTAGGCTGCAGCAGTCTTATTTTAAAAGGTCTTTAGGTTTTGCCTAGTGTTCCCGATGCTGATTATACAGGAACAATCAAGGTTATGGTTCAGTCTACTCAAAACACTGTGGCACCTATTGGGTTCAGAGATAAGATTGATTACTTATAGGAAAAACATTTTTAAGGGCTCCTAGACACGAGTATAGGTGGCCCCCAGGTGTGGCCGCTGCAAGTCCATAGGGTGTGATTAGCATTTCCTGACTCAGAGGTGCTGAATTGCCGACCTGGAGGGATGCAAAAGGCCATTCGCTTGAAAATAGTTTCACAAGAAATAAAGCCTCACAGAGAATAGAGCAAATTTTAAAAAAATAAAAGGCTTTTACGTTTTCCCCTTAAGGTGATAAGTTTAAAAGGCTGTTTACATACCCAAGATAAAAAGTTTGCCTTTAGTTTAAAACAAATTGTATTTTCTAAGGTTTACAATAAGGGAGCTATTTTACAAAAGATTATTTAAAAAAACCATAATTTCCATAAATAAAACTTTGTCCCTTGCCTCAGAAAAAAAAAAAATATATATATATTTCAGTGATTGATTTGGTCATTTAGAATTATAGTAAAAAATTTTTCCTCATTTCAGATTCATATAGCTAATAAAAGTGTCTTGTTTTAATTACAGTTTTCTTCTTGACATTATATACAGGATTTGCTACTGACTTAAAAGTCTTTGGTGCTCTCGTGATTCCTAATGATGTTGATTGCTTGTTTTACAGTCCAAAATTAAATTGGTATAAAACAGGCTTTAGTATTTCACAAATAGATTATCAAAGTTTAAAATACAATCTAAAAGCAGTGCGATTTAAACAGTCATTTAATTTTGACATCCCATTTAAATAATGCCAGGCCTAATGTTAGCCTCCAAAGAATACAAGCTACGATAACTTTTTCCTAGTTGGGTCCCCTATTCCAACGGACAATTTACTCAAGCTGTTTAGATCAGCCTAAATGTTTTCAGACTATTTGGTAGTATTAATTGGCTCCATCCAGACTTTGGACTAATTTCTCTGGTGTTATTAATTGTCATTATTCTTCAGACAAGTTATTTCAAATTGCTTCTGTTTTCACAAATAGGTCTTCTTAGGTTAAGGGAGTTTATATTAGGGCTCCCTCTTCAAAACATTGGATACAGTTTTCTCACTTTATCATCAAAATTCAAATTACAAAAACAAAAGGGGCAGTCAACCCCTCCCACTTCACTTGTTGATATATACTAATTAAATTCTTAAAATTTTGCTAAAGATGAAAGTACCGCAGCAGAAAATTACACTACAAGAAAAGGCCACAGCTGAGAACAGCCGCCTCCAACCCCTATTAACTAAAAGAAGACTATAGCTATAGGCATCTCACTCCTACAGAAAAGGCCTTTCTAGAGATAACATAGTTCTCCTAAATTAACATAAAGTATTACTTGGTGAAGTCCTTTAGGGATTCCCAAGTCCTGCCCAGATTCCTATATTATGTATGGTTAACAGTTAATTTATATAGAAACAGCTACTTTGTAATGATAATGAAGTTGAACAACTTGTTGCTATTTCCTCACCAGATTGTTTAGTCACTAAATTTCATACTTTAACTCATGTATATACCAAAGGTTTACGTCAAAAATTTCCTCAACTTTTCATTCCACAGGCTTGCGAAATCATTTTATCTTGTCCTATTTGTGGTCTGCTTATTAATCCTATTTTTCAGCCTGGAACAAATCCTAGAGGCTTGCAAAGTAATGAGTTGTGGCAAATGGATGTAACACATATTCCTGCTTTTGGGAAACTTGGATTTGTATATGTTGTTGTTGATAAATATTCTGGCTTTATATAAGTGCTTTGTACTATGAAAAAAAAATTTGTACATGTTAAAAATCATTTGTTCGAGTGTTTTGCTATTATAGGTAAACCAAAAGCAATTAAAACTGACAATGGACCTGCTTACGTGTCACATTCCTTCCAATAATTCTGTGCCTTATGGGATATTAATCATGATACCAGCATTCCATATATAATCCTCAAGGACAAGGTATGGTTGAAAGGGCACAGGCTACTCTTAAATTTATGCTAGCAAAACAAAAAGGGGGAGATGAGGATAGAAGTTCACCATGACAGCAGCAGAGAAATTTTGCGCTACCATTATTAAGGGGCCAACAGAACCGATAGGGCAACCTACCTATTGGAAAGATATTCACACTGGAATATGGGAAAGAGGTATTGTTCAAATTTTGGGGAGAGGATTTGCTTGTGTCATTACAGATTCAGGAGAAAAAGTATGGTTACCTGCTGGAAGAATTAAACCTCAACATGAGCCACAAAAGACTCAGATTCGATCTGAATCCTCGAGTGGAAGAAATGAGAGCAATGTCACTACAGCACCATCTCCAGACACCAACCAGAAACACTCAGAAAGCACAACCGCCAACCTGGGGACAACTTAAGAAATTAACCCATGATGCTGAGAAGCTGCTGGGCTTCACTAGACACGACTTTATGGCTGGTAGTATGTTTCTAGCCATGCTGGCTGTAACAGCCACTTCAGCAGACATTTAATCTACAGAATTGGGCATATATGCCTTCACCAACTTATGTTAATGAATCTAGATGGCTTCCCGGTCTATATAACACACAGGGAACATTAATTACAACAGAAAGTCAAGAGGATAAAATACAAAATGTACATATTTTTTGTAGATAAAAGATTCTATTCCTTCCAAAACTTTACTAAGAGATCTCTGCTATTGACAACAAAATCTGACTAATGTATTTAAATTATAAATTTCTAAAATTATAATAGAATTACTATGATTCAATTTGGTTGAAAATATATTTGAGTGCACTCTGATTTTGTAAAGGTGTTTGTTTGCTCTGTGTACTTGTTTATGTGTTTGTCATTCAGTGAACAACTGTTCCCTGTTATTTTGAGCTCAACAATTGGGTTATAGATGTAACAGCATGCTTTCACCTGAGTTACAAGCTGGTTTATATGATATCAAATTAAGATGTTTTAACCACAGTCCTCAGGGTGAGGAGAAATTATTAGGTAGGACTCCAATTGATGAATGGCTAACCTTTATTCATTAATAAGGAGGAGGGGCCAACCTTTATTCATTAATAAGGAGCCCCCAGTGATCTGCATAGTCTCTTGGGAGATGCCCCAATAAAAGAGACATGTTATATCATAATGAAAATTTAAGTATGTTCCTATATGTTATCATGATTGTCATGTAGCAATGTTATGTATGGTTTTGATATCTATATTTCTGGATAATTATATGTAACTGTTGTTTATTAACATTCTATTAGGATTTATATATTAGGATATACATGATTGTTAGAAAATGATTGACTACTGTTATAGACTGTGGACTATATTCTTCTTTTTCAGAATTTCTACTGTCATTTTATACGGTATTATAATTGTACTTTGCCTGAGCCTCTTAGTCTAGCAAAGTTCATCTGGAAAACCCCGAGAGAAATGGAAAGACTATTGGTGGGCTTCTTGCTGATGTTTCAAAGAGTTGCAGCAAAACAAAAAGGGAGAAATGTGGAGGACATTCTTCAGTTACTATTTTGTGTATTGTCTGAGGCCTGACCAAGCCATGATTGTTGGGTTCTGGAGGAAGTCTAGCATAAGCAATGTAAGCCCCAGGATCAATACTAGGTGCTTTGCTGAGATATGGGTGAAGGGAGATAACATGATGGCTTACTGGTCAGGTCGCGTTCCTATGATAATTGAGCTGTATTGTTCTTGCTAAAACAGTTGATATGCTCCGATTCCTCTGCTGCCTCCTGGGTGGATTCTGAATAAAAGGTTACTGAAGATGGTAATAAGGAGTCAGTCAGTCCTAGAGGCTGCTAGCACCTGATCACACGATTTTGGCTCTCTTGGTTTGATGTTTTTCTTACTTTTCTTATACATCAGCGGGCACCTAGTTTGGGGGATCTGTTCGCCCTGGACAGAGTTGGATGTGAAGTCCGACAAATATAGAGAATAAAATTTGTGCTCTTTTACATGTTTCCATTAAGATATCCACTGCATTTTTCATTTTCTTAAGAAACTGTCTTAATCAAAAGTTTAAGAGCTTATGTTACTAAAATTCACTTAATGGTGGGTAAATAGGGCTTAAGAAGCCATAGAAGAATATAAATATAGTAGGAGAATAAGTGATAAGAAATGTTATCCATTTGTCTTACAAGACAAATTATATTAAAACCATAAGAATAAATAAATAGAAAAAAACAAAATAAATTAATCAAATATGATTTTAGGATGTTCAATAGCTACCAAAGTCACAAGAATTGGGCTATACTTTCAGAAACCTTTAGATATTAAAAATTAATATGTCTAGGGTATGGATTGGTTCTAGGACCTTCCTTGGATACCAAAATCTGTAGATGTTCATGCAAATCCCTTATAGAAAAAGGGTAGCATTTACATCCAATCTATGCACATTCCCCTGTAGGCTTTAAATCTACTCAAGATTACAAAGGATACCTAGCAACAATACTGTACAAATGGTTGTACATAATAATGGTAGCCCAAAATTTCTCTGCTGCTGTCATGGTGAACTTCTATCCTCATCTCCCCCTTTTTGTTTTGCTAGCATAAATTTAAGAGTAGCCTGTGCCCTTTCAACCATACCTTGTCCTTGAGGATTATACATGGAATGCCGGTATCATGATTAATATCCCATAAGGCATAGAATTATTGGAAGGAATGTGACACGTAAGCAGGTCCATTGTCAGTTTTAATTGCTTTTGGTTTACCTATAATAGCAAAACACTCCAGTCAGTACTGGAGCTTCCCAATCAATATTGGGGATGTGGTTTCTCAATTAATATTGGGACTGATCTCTGATGAAGATTTCTGCTTTGATGAAGGAAGACTCATGGTACAGACACACAGCAAGAGTGGATTTATGACCACACTTTATTACAGGAGCACACCATCTTAAATACATAATGAGAACAAAGATGTTCTGTACTAAATGAGAACAAAAGTGTTCTATGAGAAAGAAGCAAAAGACAGTTCAAGGTAAGTACATGTTTCACTTGAGCTGATAGTACTGGGGATAGCTTGGGGAATAGCACAGAAAATGTCTCCCATATCCCGCAGCTGCGAAGTCACGGCCTCCCTCCAAGTCATGCTTTGCTCCATCTGCAGAGTCGTTTAGCTGACACTTCAGGAGACCTTCAGGATGGACCACGTTACAGCTTAGAAGCAAAGAGCTTCATACACACACTTTCAGGGCTGACTTCTACCGGCGTGGCATACTGTACTGTGCATGGACTAATACGCTGTAGTTTGGATAGGAAATGTCCTCTAAGGGCCCTTGTGTCAAAGGCTTCATCCTGAGCCTACACTGCTGATCAGAAATGGTAGAACTTGTAAGTAGTAGGGGCTCACGTCCCCAGCCCTTTGCTGTCTCTTACTTTCTTGCTACCATGACACAAGCCGATTCCTTTGCCTTGGGCTTCTGCTACAATAGACCATGTTGCCAAAAACCCAAAAGCAAAGAGCCAACCAGCCATGGATTGAAACCTCTAAATTATGAGTCATAAATGAACTTTTCCCTTTCTAAGTTGATTATCTCAGGTATATTGTCACAGTGACAGAAAGCTGATAGGCACAAATGACAAAAAGCCTGTACATGTTTCTTAAAGATGCAATTTTGGGGCCAGGGAAAAAGCTCAGGGGCAACGTGCCTGACTGGCAAGCACAAGGTCTTGAGTTCGATTCCCAGTACCAAAAGAAAAGCCATTTTTCTCAATATTTTCCATTCATAGTTGGCTGAATGCATGGCTGTAAGCACATGGATGTGGAGGACGAACTGTACATGCTGCTTTCACAAGTCTGACCAGCAAGTTCTTTAGTGGCATAGTTCTGAAGAATAAACTTACTGTATTAAAATAAGGATACATCAGTGTTTTACTAATAAATTATAAATTATACTAATAAATTTACTAATAAATTATATCAGCAATTGTGAATGTCTAAAATAATTACATTACATACATGAAGTGGAAATAGCTCCCAGAAAGCCTAGAAAGCATCTTCCTGAGGACATTTTCTCAGTCACACCGGCAGAGGTGACTATACTCTTTTAATTACTGCTCTGAGCTTCTTTTCCAAAAGTTCTGGCCTTCAAGCTACTTCCTTTAATTTAACCACGTATAGATTTCAGTAGTTGAGAATAAAATATTTGCTCCTCGGCCTCACTCTTCCTGCTCCTTACAAGCCACTTAGTAGAGTCTAGTGCAGGAGAGGAAATCATCTTACAATGAGATTGCTAAAAGCCCATCCATGCGAGGTAATCATGGTGCATATTCATCAGTGTATCCACAAATGTATGCTCTGTGAGGGCACTGTATTTTTATGCTAAAAACTTACAAAAAGATGGAGAAAAGCCAAACTGAAACCAGTATTTACTAAAGCACAGACAAAAATGTCTTTGTTAATATATTCTGATGAGTCACCAGGTTAGTGTGAAACAACCAGTCTGAGAAAAAGGACAGGTACGTGGGATGGTCAAGGAGCTGGGGGAGATGATACAGCAGTGAAAAGAAGCCTGCCTCAGGTATAATTCTTATAATGGAAGTAGTCCCACTCCTATAAGAACAGGATGTCTAATATTCAGTCTCTTACCACCACCCTGCCTGGCCCCTTGCAGCCTCGGTGTTATCCAAGCCCTCACTGAAGTTTGCCCCATAGCATACAGCATAAGAAGCTGCCGGAAGGAATCTATGGAAGCAGCACAGGAAGAGATGACTATTTCATGGAAGCAAGAACTGAGGACCACATCTGACCAGAAAAGATTGAATTTTTGGAAAACTACTAAGCACATAGGGAGTGTGGTTGGAAAATATAGTAAGGGTCTAAAATTAAAAAAAAAAGATTACAGCCTAGGATGTCATTATTATTCCCCCCCAAACCCTCCCAAACACACTATCCCATCATTCTTGTCACTTTCTGAAGTAGTTTTGGAGCCCTCTCCTGTTAGTGTCTTAAATTGCTGTTATGGCAGACTTGATATCCTGAACCAATTCAAAACATGTACCTTTGGTGGTTTTGACTTTGGTAAAGAGCCAGAAGCCCTACTGTGTCAGATCCAGTGAATCAGGTAGCTGGGGCCACACCATAATGCTCTTATAAACCTGCCATTTCAGAGGATGTACTCAGCAGCATCATTCACATTTCTGATCACATCTCTTAGACAAACTCTTGAAATAAGACTTCCAGAACTGTTTCAGAAAATGATCAGAACGATGCGATGTGTTTGGGGGTGGGATTAATGGCAATGTGCCTTTACTATAGTAAGTTTTCTTAGAATTTAAATATTCAGGGGCTGGGGATTTAGCTCAGCGGCAAAGCGCCTGCCTGGCAAGCACAAGGTCGTGATTCGGTTCCTGGTACCGGAGAAAAACCAAGAAAAAAAAAAAGAAAAAAAAAAAAAGAATTTAAATATTCATTGCATATTTTGATCATCCCTTTTTTGTATCTCATCTTTCCTATATAAATTTACCTTAGGGATATCAAAGAGTTGCTGAGTATAAGTTTCTCTTTATACGCATAATCTAGCTAAGGCAAGAAACAAAATTAGAATGTCACTCTCTGCAATGGATTGAGCATTAATCAAAAGTGATGACTAATACAACATGGATAAAAGCAGCCTTGTATTATGTGACCTGGATGGATGTAAATATTACCATCTAGAAGATATTGTTGCCA